CAGAGATCACCCACTACACTCCGCCTGGGGGTGACAAAGGGAGACTCAGTCTCAAAATATGATGAAATAATAATAATTAACTATACATAGTCACTATGATAAATGTTACAGATTAAACTATCCACAGCTAACAAAGTAACATTTAACATCAAGGAGAAAAAGATTGAATTTAACAACCAGGGCCAGAGGAAGCTAAAGGACAAAAGGATCCTGTGGGCTGGGGTTGGGGCCGGGTCCATTGGTCTTGCAACGGAAGGCACCTTTGATATGGCCAGAAGCCTCTTGGGAGGCAGGATGCCAAGTTCTGTTCATAAGTGGACTGCAAGACGGTGTCAGTTAAGATGGGCCTGTTTCAAGCTGCCTGAAGGGCTGTTTCTTTATGGTCACAGGAGTCCTCTGGTGGAGCAGCTGGATAGTATAAAAATAGAAGAGTATGACTTATTTTGCTGATCCTTATCTTGTTGTGATGCAGTCGTTAGATTTTTTTATTTGTTTCCTAAGCAAAACAGTTTCCTTATCCTTGTGTGTCAAGGTCCTGTGAAATATATAATGGAGGGGAGGGCCAAGGCGGCGGTGGGATCCGGGAGGTCAGGAGTCGAGACCAAGGCCTGCCGGGTCAATATAGTGAAATCCCGGTCTCTACTAAAAGATACAAAAAAATTAGCTGGGCGGTGTGGTGGCATGTGCCTGTAACTTCCCAGCCTACTCAGGAGGCTGAGGCCAGGGAGAATAGCTTGAACCCAGGGAGGCAGAGGTTGCAGTGAAGGCCGGATCTGACATACTCCCCACTCCAGGCTGGGGACAGAGTAAAACTCCATCTTCAAAAGAAAAAAAATACATAAAGCAGTCTTTTTCTAAGATGGAGTTAGTACTTGTCAGGGGTGCCTCTATACACCTGGGAGAGGGAAGGCAGTTCACAGGCTTCCACTGGGCCCTCCCCACTACAGTAGTTCTTAGCCTAACGGCCAAGACACAAAGTCCACGCATTACCCGTATGCATTTTAGGGCGAATGGGGAAACGATCACTGGGAGGAGCTTCATGGGAGCCCACCAGACACCCACGTAGCCAAACTCTGCGACCAGGCCCCATATTATTATGTGAACGTCTTATCCCCCGTACACTCTGAAACAGGGACACAATGACACTCGGGTATCTGGGGTTTATCAGTGGTCAACTTGATCCTGTGTGCAAGTCCTCTAAATGTTGGCGTATTTATCTCTCCTACCAACCTACAACAAGTAGAATGGGTCGGCTGTAGGTTCCTTTTAGGGAAGACTGGGGCAATTAACTTATACCTTTCCCTGGGACCCGCCTCTCCTTCAGTCAATGGATTCTGGGTTATGAAAACCAGTTTCACAATGGAACAGACAGAGTCCTCAGAAATAATACCACACATCTACAGCATTCTGATCTTTGGACAAACCCTGTAGATAAACAAGAAATGGGTAAAGGATTCCCTATTTAACAAACAGTGGCTGGGAAATTGGCTTACGCCATATAGTAGAAAGCTGAAACTGGATCCTTTCGCTTATCCTTATACGAAATTTAATTCAAAGATGGACTTTAGAGACTTAAATGTCTAGACCTAATACCATAAAAAACCCTAGAGAAAACCTAGGGTAATTAGCCATTCAGGACATAGGACATGGGCAAAGACTTCATGTCTAAACACACCAAAAGCAACGGCAACAAAAGCCCAAAATTGACAGAATGGGATCTTAATTAACTAAAGAGTTTCTGCACAGCAAAAGAACCTACCATCAGAGTGAACAGGCACGCTACAGAATGGAGAGAAATTTTTTGCAGTCTACTCTCTGACAAAGGGCTAATATCCAGAACCTACAAACAACTCAAACAAATTACAAGAAATAAACACCCCATCAAAAAGTGGGCAAAGGATATGAGACAGACATTTCTCAAAAGAGGACTTCATTACGGTCAACAGACACCATGAAAAAAATGCTCATATCACTTGGCCGGTTCAGAGAAATGCAAATCAAAACGCACATATTGAGCATACCATCTCACACCAGTTAGAATCGGGCAATCAGTTAAAAAGTCAGGAAACAACAGGTGCTGGAGAGGATATGGAGAAATAGGAACACTTTTACACTGTTGGTGGAACTGTCAACTAGTTCAACCATTATGGGAAAACAGTGTATGGTGATTCCTTAGAGAATCTAGAACTAGAAGTACCATATGACCCAGCCAGCTCCCATTACTGGGTGTATACCCAAAGGATTATAAATCATGTGCTATAAAGACACACGCACACATATGTTATTCGCGGCACTATTCACAATAGCAAAGACTTGGAATCAACCCAAATGTCCATCAGTGACAGACTGGATTAAGAAAATGTGGCACATATATACCATGGAATACTATTCAGCCATAAAAAAGGATGAGTTTGTGTCCTTTGTAGGGACATGGATGCAGCTGGAAACCTCATTCTCAGCAAACTATCACAGAACAAGAAAACCAAACACCGCATGTTCTCACTCATAGGTGGGAACTGAACAATGAGATCACTTGGACTCGGGAAGGGGAACATCCACACACCGGGGCCTATCACGGGGAGGGGGAGGGGAGGGATTGCATTGGGAGTTATACCTGATGTAAATGACGAGTTGATGGGTGGTTGACTTGAGTTATGGGTGCATTCACACCAACATGGCACAAGTATACATATGTAACAAAACCTGCATGTTATACACATGTACCCTAGAACTTAAAGTATAATTTTTTTTTTTTTTTTTTTTTTTGAGACGGATCTCGCTCTGTCACCCAGGCTGGAGTGCAGTGGCCGGATCTCAGCTCACTGCAAGCTCCGCCTCCCGGGTTCACGCCATTCTCCTGCCTCAGCCTCCCGAGTAGCTGGACTACAGCGCCTGCCACTCGCCCGGCTAAGTTTTTTGTATTTTTAGTAGAGAACGGGGTTTCACTGTGTTAGCTGCCAGGATGGTCTCGATCTCCTGACCTCGTGATCCGCCCATCTCGGCCTCCCAAAGTGCTGGGATTACAGGCTTGAGCCACCGCGCCCGGCCCTTAAAGTATAATTTAAAAAAAAAAAAGAAAACCAGTTCAGACTGGAAACCGGGCAAGA